ACATGAGGGTATGGCGACCCCCCGTCATCGATTTCGTGGGGTTCCCGGGGCTGGGCACCAAGAGTCTGGGCCCAACTCGGGAATATGCGCTGTGCCGGCATCCATCCTCGATAGGGGTGCATCTGGATTGCTCCTCAGGGTTTCACCCTCCTTTTCTGATAGCCATGATTTTTACCGGGGAAGGGGAGGACTCGGGGACTTCGGATCGGATGTAAAAGGAAGTCGGTGAGGGGGGGCGGTGTCAGCTGTGAACGATTCAACTCACGTTGCCGGTTTTCCAGGCGCCTCCTTGCGCAAGGCGCCAATGCATCGAAGCAAAACCGGCGGCATGCAGCAGATGTTGTACCACCCCCACTTTCCCAACCCTTCGCTTCGTCCGAGCCGAAAGGTGGGCGCAGGAGGAGGATCAGCAGGACGTGAACGACGAGGGCAAGGACGAGGACGAGGACGAGGAGGAGGAGGAGGAGGAGGAGGCCCAGGAGGACGACGAGGACGAGGACGAGGATGATGCGCAAGGAAGCACCAGCAGGCGGAGGGAGAGGGGGAGGGCAGTCGGAGAAGGGACAACGAGTAGGGAGAAGGAGGAGGGAGAACGAGATGGCAGAATGATGATTTGAGGATGGGGAGGAGGAGGAGGAGGAGGAGGAGGAGGAGGAGGAGGAGGAGGAGGAGGAGGAGGAGGAGGAGGAGGAGGAGGAGGAGGAGGACGAGGAGGAGGATGGGGAGGAGGAAGCATAGCGCGGAGCACACTGGCAAGGAGCGTCCGCGATCGTGGGTGGAAGGAGCGGAGTAAGCAGCTGCTGCTGCTGCTGCTGCTGCTGCTGCCGCTGCTGGTGCAGCTGCCGCTGCTGCTGCTGCTGGTGCTGCTGCTGCTTTTCTTCGTCCTCCCTCTGCTGCCGCTGTGGCTGATCCTCCTCGACCTCCTCATCCGTGTTTGCCTCTGCCCCCCTTGTCGTCACCCACCGTGATTTTGCCCGCGACCCGATCGGGACGCGCCTGCTGCGGCCAGCCGGGGCTGCCAAGGGGAGGGGAGTGCGCAGCCCGAGGCCTTACCCACCGACTGTCCCTGCTGCGGCTCCCCTCCCCGCAGGGGCCCGGCCTAGGCAGTGAGCGCTCTCCTGCAGGGGCGGGGCGCGGGGGGCAGCCGGGGAGCCCCCGGGGGGGAGGAGCTGGGGAGCGCGGCCCCTGCAGGAGGGCAGGGAGGGCACGCGATGGCAGGAAGGAGGGGATGGCGAGGCAGCGGCGAGGGAGGAAGGGAGGGAGGACGAGTAACCCATGCCATGTTTTTCGCCCAGGCTGGCGGAGGCGTGGCTCGAGATCCACTCGGGAGGGAGGAGGAGGAGGCACCCCACGAGCTGGCAGCCAGCGGTCGCCAGGCGAGCGGCCGGTCCAAGGCGACGCGCAGCGCCGTGGCGCGCCCCAGCCCCACGACGGCGACGCACGCACTGGGCAGCCCCTGTGCTCCCACTCCTCAGCAGCCAGCGCCTCGTCAACAGTCAATGACTGCGGCGCGCGGCGCTCTGCCTGCCCGCAGAAGTCGGCTATACGTAAGAGTGACCCTGCGTAAGAGTGACCTTTGGTGCGCGGCTTTTTGGGGGCCGCGTGGGGACCAAACCTGGGCGCGCAAGCCGTTGCTCCTGCGTCGTTTTCAGCCATCTGGGGACCCATCTGTGCCCGCACTGAAGGTCACTCCGGCGAAAGGTCACTCTTACGTCTAGTCGAAGAAGTCCCGATACCACCTGGCAGGCGGCCTGGAGACCCGCCAGGCGCGTCCTCGCGAGGCGCCCGCGCCTGCTGCACCAGACCCTCGGCCCCCCGTGCGCCACAGGGCGCGGCCGCTGCTGGCAGCAGGTTGGGGGGCCGAGAACGCCTGGGAGGCGCGCTGCGTCTCCTCCTCCTCCTCCTCCTCCTCCTCCTCCTCCTCCTCCTCCTCCGCCAGCACGCACAACCGCGAGCATCCCTCTGTGGCGCGTGCCTGCGCCCCTCGCCGGCCACCAGCTGCAGCGCGGGCCTCGAAGGGTGCGCACAGCGGCCGCGCCGGCACGTCAGGCAACGCAGCGCCCCGTGCTCCTCGAACGGCCCGGTCGCGAGCTCCGCCGGGGAGCACGGGGCGAACCGCCCCCTCGGCTGCCTCGGCCTCGCACGCCGGGTGCTCGCAGACGAGGCGCTGGAGGGTACTCGTTGGAGCCCGCGGCGCGCCTCTTCCCCGCCCGCTCGACGGCGCCGCGACCGGCTGGGAGGAGGAAGGGATGGCGGAGGAGGAGGACACCCTCGGCAGTTTCTGTTTTGAAGGTCGGCGGCCCGCCCGCCCTCCTACCTCCCTCGCTCCTTCCTCATCGCTCGCCCTTCCTCATCATTCCTCCGCCCTCCTCGTCCTTCCGCCTTCGTCCCCCTTCCTCCTCCTTCCTCTCTCCTCCTCCTCCCTCCTTCCCCATCCATCCTCCACCTCCTGCTTCTCCTCCTCCTCCCCTCCCTCTCCTCCTCCTCCTCCTCCTCCTCCTCCTCCGCGATCCTTCCCTCCTGACTGCTCCTTCCTCCTCGAAGCCGCCGCCCGCCGCCCGCACCCTCCACCCACCGACGCGGCCGCGTCCAGGCCATCCACTGGCCATCGCTCGGACGTCCATTCCCTGTGTTTTTTTCGCTTACGTGCGTGTTTTTTTTCCGCCAAGCGATCAAGGATACTCCTCGATGGTCCTCGCCGAAGGAAACATGCACACGTCCGAGCGATGCCAAGTTCACAGGGCGCGACGGCCCCCTGAGGCAGGCCCAGCTCCGCAGCACGCGACAGCCCCCCGAGGCAGGCCCGGGTTGCAAGACGACCACTGCTTCCATGCCGGGGGACATGCCCACCGCCCCCCCACGCAGGCCTGCTGCCTGGACAGAGGCAGTGGACATGCAATGACATGTACGATGGATCGCCGCCCGAAGCGCCTGGGATGCTCCTGGAGGCCTCCCAAACGAGTTCGAGCAGATTAGCTCGGAGCGTTGCGGCGCATCGCCGGTGCGTCGGTGATGCCTCGGTGGCGTCGGCGACGCGTCGGCCACGTCGGCGTGGAGCAAAAATCAGGATGCACATCGAGCCGCATGGCCGATGCATCGGCGCTGCGGCGTGGAGCAAAAATCAGGATGCACATCGAGCCGCATCGCCGATGCATCGGCGCTGCGGCGCGATAAACCGACGACGATCAAAATCGGGCCTTACGCGAGATGGCATGCCGACCTTACCCATCGGTCGGAAGAAGTAAGTAGAAACATGAAGTAGGAAGGCGTTGGAAATAGATTGGGTTTCCGCACACCTCCTGAAGAGGAAGGAAGAGGGAAAACCACTCGGCCCTTGAAGTAGGAAGGCGCTGAAAGTAGATTGGAATCTGGGAATCCAAAAATACCTACTTTCAACGACCGATGGGTACGCGGCAACTCATGCGGGCCGCCAGCACGGCACGCCACAGTGGAGACAAGGGCGCCAACGCACGACCTCACGCGGGCAGTTCACGCGCCAGTGTCGGCGCAGACGACCCCCGTGGTCTTGCGTCGCTCGTGTGGGAGGCCTCGAACCCCGCGAGCACTTCCGTTTTTTTGGTCGTCAAAGGCTTCACGACTTCTGCCGTCCCTCGGCTCGCGCTGGAGCGGCCGCAATCTGCTCCACTTGCCCGTGAAGGCCTCTGGTTTTACCCGGATTTGCCCGAATTTGACGGGATCTACCTGGAACTATCCGCATTTATCTGGACTTCTCTGGCTCCATCCCCGACGATGAGAAGGACGAGGAGGACAGACACGCATGACAAGGTGAGCGGCAGGAATAGGAGGGGAAGCAGGACGAGCAGGACATACGGAGTAGGTGGAAGGGAAGGAGGGTGAGGAGGAGAAGAAGGGGAGCGGGAGGAAGAGAGGTTCAGGGGGAGCAGGAGGAGGTAGAAGAAGGACAGGGGGAGGTGCAGGAGTAGCATGTTGAGCAGCCGCAGCAGGAAGAGGACAACGGGTCGATTGGCGAAGAGTCGCCAAGCCCTTGGGAATTCCGTGCTGCGGGCTGCGCAGCCCCGTCCCGCGGGGGGCGGCGCGCCCGGCTCGGCCGAGGCAGCGCTGCACCTGCGGCGTGCTCCCGCCCGCGCGCGCGCCGACCACCTCACTGGCCAGGCCAGACCTCGGGCTGTGCAGGGACCGACCGTCCCGGCCTTCCTACAGGCCTACCGTCGGGGCGTTGACCTAAGGAACCCTAAATAAGGAACGAGGCCCCTTTTTTCCATAAGTTAACCTTCGATTTCCGGTCGAAAGAATAAAGAAAGCCTGAGGCAAGCTGTGAAACACTTAAGGAACGCGGAGCCCCTCCCCAACGAAAAGGGTTCCTTCTTCAGGGCCCCGACTGTACCACGACATGGTCTTAGAAACCCAACAATGTTCCAAGAACCGAAGTCACGTTTTTAGAAAATCAGCCCGAGGTGTTAAAAGAAGCAAGTCCCAGCCAACACTGTCCTGAGAACATGATTTGGTAGGCCTATAGGCGGGCCAGGACGCTTCGCCACTGCTTGACGTCGGGGAAGAATCCGTTGAGCAGGGACCGACCGCCCCGGCAGCTTGTACGTAGGCCTAACACGACGAGACGTAATCATAACAAAACGATGATCTAAGAACACAAACATAGGCAATGCTCTTTGACCATGGAGCCGACGTAAGGAAGCGAGACAGCCTCAGCCAGAAATGCTCTCAGAATTTGTCGTGCAAGCCACCGAAGACTCTGACTTCGGTGAGCCTGCAGCAGAAGCAGTAGAAACAGCATCAGCATCAACTCTTGGCGCTCTGCGCGGGTTTCTTGGATCTGCGCCAGGCCCCCCTCCCTGGCGCGCGGAGCGCGCCAAAGGCGGCGCCGGAGACGCCGCCAGGGGGGACCAGCGCCGATCTAAGAAACCCGCGGGGAGCGCCAATCCTTCTGCCGTTTTTCTTCTTCTCCGGTTCAGGCAAGCCAGGACGCCTGGCCGCTGCTTGCGAGTCCGAGCCGGGCAGGGTCACGCGCGGGCCCGCTGCGGCGTACCGGCGCGCTGCTGCGGCGTGCGGGCGCGCCCCGCAGCCCTGCCGCCGGTCCCCACGCTCTTGCCGGCGGTGCCCGCGCTCGCCGCGGACTGCTCTTGCTCGGACTCGGACTGCTCCTCCTCCTCCTCCTCCTCCTCGTCGGCGGCTGAGGGGCAAAAGAGCCAATACTTCCATCGCTCGCGAGAACGAACGCCCGTGGCTGGTCCCGCGTCCCCCCCCCTTCCAACCCCCCTCTTGGCCAGGTCACGATCCTCGCCGGCGCCGTCTGGGAATGAGCCATCCTCAGGCATTCCCAGACGGCGCTGGCGCGAATCGTGGCTTGAGTAGCCCAGTCCTCCCCTCCTTGGATGCTCGTTCTGGGGACCTCCCTGGAGCCACTCGCTCCACTCGTGCGTCGAAGCTGCGTCGAATGTCAGTCGAGTTGGGTCGACCCTGAGTCGGGTCTGAGTCGAACTTGAGTCGAACTGGGGTCGAACTGGGGTCGAAATGGGGTCGACCAGATCCGTTAGGTGGGCTCCAGGAAGGTCCCCGAAACGAGCATCGAACCCTCCCCCCCCTCCCAGTCATGCCCGTTATCGCCCCAGGGAAATTAAGAAAAGGTCTCCAGGGCGGCCGGCTCAGGGGGAAGCCTCGACCTGGCATCGGCGGCAGAATCGCCGATGGACCGGCGATAGCCGAGCCACACGTTCCTGGCTGGGGTGGCCCAACAGGTCCGTATCGGCGAAGAATGGGCGAGTGGGGGTCGATGCGTTCCCCCCTGAGCCCATTCTCTCCATCACGTTGCCCATGAGGCTGCGGGGTCGGACGGAAAGAGGGATCAACATTATCCCAGTGCGACCCTACCTAAGAGTTGGGACATCTACCGAAAGCAACATCTACAGCTACACCGACAACTGCATTCACATCTACACATGAATCTACATATGCATCAACATCAACAGCGAGACTCACATCTACATCTGCGTCCACATCTACATCTACCCCTACATGTTCATCTACATCTACACCTACATCCACATATACACCTACATATACATCTACACGTTCGCATTGGTGTTGCCTTTTGCGTTACATGCTATGTTATGTTATGCTATTTTATGCCTGGCTATGCTATGATATGCTATGCTGTGCTGATGCTGCGCTGCGCTATGCTGCGCTGCGCTGCGCTGCGCTGCGCTAAGCTAAGCTAAGCTAAAGTAAGCTCATCTATGATTCGCAATGATATGATATGTCATGATAAGCTGCGATATGTTATGATGTGATCTGCTATGTTGCGCTATGCTATGCTATGCTATGCTCGGCTAGGCTAGGCTAGGCTATGATATGCGGCGTTATGTTATGATATGCGGTGTTATGCTATGCTGCGCTATGCTATGCTATACTATGCTATGATGTGCTATACTATGCTATACTGCGCTGTGGTATGCTAAGATATGCTATGCTATGCTGAGCTATGCGATGCAATGCAATGCTATGCTTGGCTATGCTATGCTGTGCTAACGCTGCGCTGCTCTATGCTGCGCTGCGCTGAGCTAGGCCAAGGTAAGCTCAGCTAAGCCAAGCCAAGCCAAGCTCAGCTAAGCTAAGCTAAGCTAAGATAAGCTAAGCTAAGCTAAGCTAAGCTAGGCTAGGTTAGGCCAGGCAAAGCGGGGGATACTGGGGGAACCGCAGGGCGGATGCCGGGGGAACCGCCCGGGGCGTGTTCCACTGCCCGGCCCTTTAAGCACAGCCAGCCAGCAAGAACCCTTCTACGCAGAGCCTAGGTAGGGAAAAAGAGCCCGAATCCCCGACGGCATGACTTCGCCAATCCCGGCACTCTCCCTGGCTTTCGGCCGCGGGTGTCGCCTGCCGAGATTGGTGAGGTGGTCACCTGATGCCCCCCGAACGATTGGGGCCTCTGGGGGGCAGTCTGAAGGCCCCGTGACCATCCGCGTGACTCCCGGAAGCCGCGGACCGGGAGAACCGAAAGAGCGCTTTCCGACGCTGCTGGCGGGGGGAGGGGGGTTCGCCACCCGCCCTCAGACGAGGGGGGGAAAGGTTGGTTCGGTAACCCTTCCCCCTTTCCTCCCTCGCTCCCCCGAGCAAGCCCCCTCCCCCGAAAAATCATTGGGGGTTACAGAACCCAACCCCTTCCCCAGAAGGGAGGGAATCGGGGTCACGAACTTTCCCTCTCCCGCCGAGCAGGGCGGCAAACTGACGACTGCGGCATCGACGACCGACTTCGACGGCCGACGACGATGGACGCCAACGTCGTGACGACGACGACGCCGACGACGTCGACGACGACGACTCGGATGATGATGGTAATGAAAATGATGATGGTGGTGGCGATGATGATGATGATGGTGGTGACGTCGATGATGGTGCTGATGATGATGCTGGTGGTGGTCGTGTTGATGGTGACGGTGGCGATGATGCTGATTATGATGATGATGCTGATGCTGCTGATGATGATGAACATGATGAGCTGGATTATGATACTCATACTCTTGGTCATGCTGATGTTGAAGGTAATGATGGTGGTGGTGAAGAACGATGAATCTGCTGAGGATGCTGATGATGCTGCTGATGCTGATTCCGGCGATGCTGATGTTGATTGTGAAGACGATGATGATGATGTGTGCATTGAGGGTGAGGGAAATTCTGATGATGGCGATAATGGTTATGGTGGTTATGTTGATGATGCTGCTAACGAAGACGAGGTCGATGATGATGGAACGGCTGATGAAGAGCACAATTATGATGATAAGGGCGGTGGTCACGATGACGATGGCAAGGAAGACGATGAAGGTGATGCCGAGGACGGTGATGACTCGACGATGCTGATTCTGGTGATGTTGGTCATGGCGGTGATGCAGATAAAGATGATGATGGCGAAGAGGTAGAAGTGGTATTATTGATGCGGATGTTGATGGTGCTGATGATGATGACACCGATGATGAGTGTGGTGGCTGTGACATTGATATGACACCGATGATGGCTCTGACCATGATGGAAATGACAACGAAAGAGATTGTGGTGTTGTTGATGGCGACGATGACGATGACGACGATGGTGATGACGTTGATGATGGTGACGATGATTATGGTGACGATGATAACGATGATGATGCCCATCATGATGATGGACACGGCGATGATGCTTAGTATGACGACAATGATGGCGGGGGTGGTGAGGATACTGCTGGTGCGGGTGGGCATACGGATGATAACAATGTCGATGATGCTGATGGCGGTGATGTTGTCGATCATGCGAATGCTGATGGTGATGACGATGGTGAGGATGAGGTTGAGGATGGGAATGAGGACGCAAATAATGCTGATGATTGCGGCGATGGCGCTCATGATGATGATCCGGCTCGTTCCGCCCTTGATGGTCCGCCCGCCCGACGCGACCCGCTCAGTAGAGCTCTCGCGTGCCAGTTCAATTATGCAGAAATTTTGTTCGCGGCCCCGCCCGCCCGCCCCTAAGACTGCGATGGTGATGGCGATGACCGCTCGACGAGGGTAGGTGCGCTGATGGAAGTAGTGGTGATGCTTGCCATGGCGGTGCTGTTGATGATGTCGGCGGCGCTGATGGCGCTGGTGCTGCCAAAAATGATGCGGAGGAAGATGACGATGATGATGATGACGATGATTACGATTGATGATGATGTCGTTGAGGACTACGACGCTGAGGATGGAGATGACGATGACAATGATGTTGAGTCTTAAGCTGATGATGATCTTTTCCACGGGACCGATGGCAATGACCGGTTAACAACTAATGAATTCCAATCGTCAACACCTGCAAGAGTGCCAGCCAACGCGGTCGAGCGACAATTCAAAGTCTCGGGCGTCTGTGGGAACATCCCCACCGAAACCAAACCCAGCTTCGTGGGACGCCAAGGGGGCGCAGCAAGCAGCAGCAGGGAGGGACGGCGAGAGGGGGAAGACCGATCGATCGATCAAGGCCAACGTCTGCACTAAGCTTGCCACCCAAGCACGAGCGGGGCGGCGGTGAGAAAGCCTCTCTCTGAGGCCGCGGGGCACGGCGCCTGGAAGCTGTCCAGACCTCGCGCACGGGCACATCCAAGAGGCCGAGACGAGCCGACAAGGGATGGCTCGGCCTAGTCGCATCAGCTGAGGTGCGCTAGTGGGTGCGCAGCCGCTTTCCCAGGTCGGCGGATGGGGTCGGAGCTCCAAGCGGGTGACCACACAGAGCGACCACGACATCCCAAGGAAGAAAAAGTAAAGCTACGAAAGAGCAGGGCCACGGGAACCAGAGGCTCAACCTACACGGCAACTGCTTTTCAAAAAGAGACGACAACGAATTCGGGGAGACAGCAGCGGCGATCCTGTGTACTCGATCGGCTGGAGGGGCGGCGCGGGGCCGCAGACAGACTCTCTCAAGCACAGTCTCTGGCAGAGAGAGGCCAGGCGGACCTTTGATGGTGATGCTGATGATGGTGGTGACGATGCTGATGCTGATGTTGATGATGCGGATGAGTATAATGGTTGTGCTGTTGCTGCTGATGATGATGATTCTGATGATGCTGCTGATGAGGATGAGGATGATGCTAGTGATGGTGAGGATGATGATGGTTATGAAGATGGGTAATGATGGGGATGATGGTTTGCGGCGGCCTTCACCGTCGTTCGTCGCTGTCGCCGTCGCCATCGCCGTCGTCGCCATCGTCGGCGTCGGCATGGGCATCGTCGCCGTTTGCCTGCAGTGAGGGGCGAGTGGGCATCGTTACCCACCTCCCCCCTCTTGTGCGGGCAGGACGACCGGCTTGGGGGTGCGCCGTTTGGGGCCAGCGACAGTGGATCGCGCCCCCTCAGAGGATTTAAGTGTCGGATGTCTGCGGGCAAGGAGCGGGCTGCTATGGAGGCAGCCGTCTGCGAAGCCAAGAAGCCAGAAAGGGGGCTTCTTGGAAGGGGCAGGAGGCCTCTCAGGAAGGCGCGAGTGCTTTCGGATCTATTGGCATCCACCGATCCGGAGACGTGCCCTCGAAGACGCCGCGGAGCCCTGCACGCGGGGAGAGAGATGCACAGCCGCCGCTCCGCAAGATCCCCGGGGGCACGCAGGAGGGATCGGCAGATGTGGGCAGAGCTCCCGCGCGGGATCCTCGTCCGCGAGCTCCGACTCCTCCTCCTCCTCCTCGCCGTCGGAGCCCTCCTCGTCCGTCGGCAGGGGTGCCCCTCCTGGCACGCACCCATGCACAACCAGCCCGGCCAGCGCCGTCCCGGGCCCTGTGCTGGTGTGTACGCCTCCCTGGCCGAGGTCGGAAACGTCTGCACACCATCCTGAGGCCCAAAACGGCCCTGGCGGGGCATGGCTGGGGCCCGCGCAGAGGGGGGTAGGGTAAAACAGGGCTTAGGATCGGGATAAATCGCTCCAGAGCGTTCCGGAGCGCTCTCAGAGCGTTCCGGAACGCTCTGGAGCGGCCGCGGCGCCCAATACATCCTCCAAACCCGCCGATTCTCAGAGATTTCGATTTATCCCGATCCGATTTTGTCCCGATCTTCGCGTCGTTTGATAGGGGGAGGGGGGAAGGCTTCTTAGAAGCACCCCTGCTTTTGAGAAGGTGCGGGCCCTGTCTGTAGATGCAGGGCCGTGGTGCCTTCTGAGAAGCAGGCTCCTTCTAAGGAGCCTTCCCCCTCCCCCGAATGGTGGTGGTGTACGACCGCAAGCTCGCGCCGCAATGTCGCCTGCGCTGGTCTCTGACACCGCGTGGATCCTTCGGGCCTCCCGCGACCGCCAATTCCCGACAGCGCGCATCGCTCGATGCCCGTCGACGCTGGGCCGGCGTTGAGCCGCGGCGGGAGTCTGCCGCACCCTGAGACCCCGCGTCGCGAAGAAGGTGCAGCATCGCTGAAATCGGCGGTGGGCAAACCTCCCTTTCGGACACCTCCCCTCAGTGAAAACGGCCTGGGGCCGAAACCGACGCATCTGGACCCGCAAAAAGGACGGCCGCGACGCCCTCTCGCGAACCGAAAACGGCCAATTCGCTAATCGACGTGTCAGGGTAGGAGGTCTGTCAAGCACCCCGATGAAAGCAGGAGCCACCGCGGGAGCCGCACCGATCCTCGGAGAGGCCCCGGGGCCCGAGGCCCCGGCAAACGAGCGAGCGCCCGGCGCGAGCAGCATGGCACACTGCGCCCGGGACCCTGCAGCGCGGGCGCGGCTGCAAGACACCCCCACAGGGAGCCCGGGCCCCGAGAACCCGCGCGCGAGATGCAGCCTGCGGGGAGACCCGAACCTCCTGGACGCAGCAGCTTCCTCCACGTCCGCGGAGGGCCACCGCGCAGCGCGCGGAGCGAAGGAACCCGAGGCGCCCTGACGAGAGCATCCGGTCCCTTGGCGCGCGCCCCCACTGCACCGAGCCCCTCTGCGCAGTCCTCTCTGGAAGTGGCTCAGATGGCTGGTCGCGCGGCCCCTCTCGCGGGGCAACGACAAAGGGGGAGGCTGCAGGACCGTCACAGGAGGGGAAGCCTCGACCTGGCATCGGCGACACTGAAGGGGCCCCAGGACACACGAATAAATACACACAAAGAAAACTGTTCCCCATCTTTTCTCATATGTTCTGGGTTTCTGTCTTCCCCCCCGCTTCCCATATTTTCCCATATTTTCTGGGGAATCGAGGATTCATTGTGTCCGTGTGTGTTTTTTCCTCTCCTGAGACACGTCGCCAACAGATGGCGAAGCCGTGCGCTCCTGGGCGGGTTGGCACCATCGGGCCCCTGCCGGCGATGCATGGGCGGCTGGGGGTCGACACATCCTCCCCCTGTTCCTAGTCAGACGAAGCCAGGACGATGAAAAAAAATATCGGGGGAGGACAACTCCTCCTCCTCCTCCTCCTCCTCCTCCTCCTCCTCCTCCTCCTCCTCCTCCTCCTCCTCCGCTCGAGACTCTCTGAGAGCTGGCGGCTCTGGGGGAAGTGTCGGGCGCCGCGACCTTCTCCGAGCGTTCCGGCACACTCTGAGGAGCGTTCCGAGAACGCTCTGGCACGGATTCGTCCTCGCCCTGGCCCCGCCCGACCTTGGTCCCCCCTCCGCTCGGGAGCGGCCAAGAGGGGGGTGTCCCAGAGGGGGGGGTGCAACTCATGACCGGCGGCACGGTGCGCGGCACAGCGGGGGGGGCCAGGGACGCAATGAAGCAAGAAGAGGCGCCATGAAAGACGTGGAAACATCCTGGCCCACGCCATGACATCCACCCCTCGCCCTGGTGATCATCCCCCTCTTTTTCAGCGAGCGAAGAACGGTATAAAATAAACTTTTTCGCTGTCGTGGGCGCCTGTCCCTGGGCGGCTGGAAAGTTTATACCCCTACGGTGCCACCGTAAGGGTATAAACTTTCCAGCCGCCCTGGGACAGGCACCCCTGACAGCGAACAAGTTTATCTTATACCGTTCTTCGCCCGTTAACTCTTTGCCGCCCCCGATCGTCATTGCCGCTGGCCTCTGCATGGGCGGCGACTTCGCCGCCGGGGCGCCCGCCGCCTTGTCGGGCGGCCGGCGCGCGTCCGCTGCGGCGTGCGGGTCCTGCACCACGGCGGAGGGGGCGATGCGGGCCGACGGCGCGGCCGCGTCGGGCTTCGGCTCAACGAGGCGCAGCTTCACCTGGGCGGCCGTCCCGAGTCCAGAGCTCACGAGCGGCGAGCGCATCTTTATCCGCGCTTGGGCGCGACTGAAGGGGGGTGCGATCAATGGGGGGGGGGGGAAGAAGGGGGTGCCCTCTCGGGCCCTGCAGCCTACAGGCCCCCTTCTGCGCCCGAGAGAGCCCCCTATAGATACCCTGAAGGGCCTCTTTTCTTCGGCAAGACCTCGGTACCCCCCACACGCACATATCGCCCCCCCAATACGCGCCCTCCAACGCGCCCTCGCTGTCTTGATTCTGGGGCGCGATCCCGCAGATACGACGTTGCACGAATACGTTCCGCGGGGAGCATCCGCGAAAGAACGCCCCCGTATCCGCGGGGTCGCGGCCCAAAGGCCTGGCCCGCGAGGCCGCGGCTATGGATATGTTCTTCGTACATGAAGATCTCCGACGCCATGACCTCTGTCAATCCCGGCGTTTCCCTTGAGCGTCGGCGCACATGATGACCCGTCATCGGCCCTGGTACCTCAAAACTGGGCCCAGGGCGAAAAGCTCCCTCCGGGAAAGGGGGCCGAGAGTTTGAGGGCAGCGGGTGGCAAAAAAACACATCGTCGAGCGTCGTCGATGCCATGGGCCCCCCCTAGGGGGGAAGCGAGGATCATGCGGCGGTCTCGCGTCGGGACGCCCTCAGCGCTGCTTCGTGACACCGCGCGGATCGCTCAACCGTGAACGGTCGGCGGCTTCTCGCTTCTGGATTGGGCCGATCCTGGGCCACGGACGGCGCTCGACCTCGAACGCCCGCGGCTGGGTCGCGGCGAGTCCGCACGACGCCGGCCTGCCGCAGCTCAGCTCAGGGGGACGTAAGACCCGGGTACAGGGGACTCGGAAACCCCCGACGAGGTCGTCAAAAGAATGACGAGGCCGAGCCTGCACTTGGACGAGGCCTCCCGCTGCAGACATCCCACGAAACTCCTCCTCGTCAAAATCCGAGGCGCGGTCGTCAAAAAACGATGGCGAACCCGAGTCCTGGCAAACCCGGGTCTTCTAGGGCTCCAACTTCGCGCTTCGCGCTCCGCGAAGCGCGAATAACTTCGCGCTCTCGCGCCGCCCTCCCAAAGGGAGAATAGGAGGACGAGGAGGAGGGGGAGAAGGAACGAGGACCGCGAAGCGCGAAGCGCGAATAACTTCGCGCCCTCGAGGGAGCCCTTGGGCTTACGCTCCCCCGATCAGCCAGTGGTGGCCGGTCCGGGGATGGGCGCGCCGGCGCGTGGGCGGCCCTGCGCGGGGCGTGCGGCCGTCCTGCCCAAAGAGCCCGCGGGGCGCGGCCCGTGCGTCGGATAACAGGGGATATGTCGACCCCTATCCCAAGCTTCGTGGGGTTTTCGAATGGACCCGCAAAATCGGGGCCCAACCGTGGGATATACGAGGGGGGGCGTCCATACTCGATAGGGGTGCGTCCGAATAGCCCCCTGGGGGTGTATCCCAGGGTTTCCCTCCTTTCTGAGCTGCTCCATTTTTCGTAGAAAAGTCGGGGGTTGGGATAGAAACATCGCCTGCGATCGGAGCGTCCGATCCAGAGCAGCGAGGGCCTCACGGGGGCCACAAGCGAGGCCCCGGAAGGGCCGCCAGCTCGAACCGGCATTCCCCGAGCCTTGCGTCCCAGGAGGGCCCCAGGACCGCCGACGGGCGCACAAGGACGCCCCCAGAAGCCCCGAGAGGCCCCCAGGAGGCCACTGCAGGGCCTCAAGAGGATCCCCCAGAGGCCCCCAGAGGCCTTACCCGTGGGTTTGTCTGTTCCTCAGGGGGTCGGCGGATGAATTGGAGCAGGAGCAATGTCGCACCGATCGGACGACCTGATCGGTGCGATACTGTCGAAGACGCAGGAAGGCTGCCGCACATCAGAGTGATCGAGCAGCACGCACGGCTTCAAGGACGGCCTGCCTGTGCTTGAGACTCGCTCTCCCTCCCGATTGCGCTTGAGCCGCCCACCTTGGCATCGCTCTTGAGGCCATCCTTCCCCGCGAGGTCGTACCTGGGCGAAAAGAAAAGCCGTTCGGGTGTCCATGGAGGCCTCACGCTGCCGAATGAATAAGTAGGATGAGGAGGAGGAGGAGGAGGAGGAGGAGGAGGAGGAGGATGAGGAGGAGGAGGAGGAGGAGGAGGAGGAGGAGGAGGAGGAGGAGGAGGAGGAGGCTCCCGAGGCGAGTGCAGCCTTGGCGACGAGGGGGCCCCCGCTGGGACGCCCGAGCAGGGGAAGACGAGGGAACGGCAGTCATACCCCCGGATCGGTTTTGGAGGCCTCCCACATTCGGGTCGGGCGAAAGGGGGGGGATGGCACAGGCGGGGTTTGAGAACCAGCTCGCGCAGCCGATTCTCCCCCTGCATGCAGCAGATATCGTAACCCCCCCTTTCCCAATCCCCCCCTTTTATGCCCGGCCCGACACACGGAGCCCGAGCGGATGCGGTCCGAGGATCGCGCCGCGTCGCTGGTGCATCGCCGAGGCACTGTCCGTGCGGCGCGCGGCCTTCCGACCGAAACCTGCTCGGAACCCCACCTCGGAGGCCCGAGCGGGGGAGACCTGAAGGGGAACTAGGACACACAAATAAATACACACAAATAAAGATATCCCCCATATTTTCCCATATTTTCTGGGTTTTTGTCTTCCCCCCCACTTCCCATATTTTCCCATATTTTCTGAGAGTCGACGATTAATTGTGTCTGTGTGTTTCTTTCCCTCCTGAAGACCGGAGGAGGGGCAGGGATGGGTGCTCCTCGGTGATCCTCACCACGCGCGTTAGCGCCGAGGTGTGCTCCTGCTCCGCAGAAGGCCCTCCCGTGCGACGCGGGCGGCGCGAGGGCCAGCACGGGCCGCGTGCTGCCGGTGGAGCTGGGCGGGGTGGCGCAGACACGCGCGCACACTTTTTGGCGTTGCGGCCACGCGCGCAACGGCGTGGCGTAGAAAGCCGGGCGCGAAGACACGCGCGCGACCGGCCCAGGTCACGCGGCGCAGGGACACTGGCTCCGCCCACAGGGGATCGGCAGCATATCACCCGCGGGGGAGGGCAGACGCGAGGGGAAGCGGACGAGGAGGCGGGGCAACGGAGCATTGCAGGGTGCGGCGACAGGCGCGCACGCACACAGTGGGCTAGCTAAGGCACGTCCTGAGGATCATCGAGTGCCTTTCTTCGGGGATGGACAGACCTCCCTTTAGTAAAACGTGGTTTAGTGACAACGACCTGAGGCCCAAACCTGGCGGGCGCAAGCCTGGAAAATAGCGGCCACGGCGCCATCTCGAGAACCGAAAACGGACAATTCACTAATCGACGTGTCACTGTTGGGGGTTCTGTCCTCCCCCGATTTCTGCCCCCCGCCAAGGATCGGGCTTCGTCCCGGCGTCCGACACCGCGTCCAGCCGCAGCTCCCCGACGAGGGCCTGTGAAGGGGCCCCAGGACACACAAATAAATACACACAAATAAAAATATTCTCCATATTTTCCTATATTTTTTGGGTTTTTTGTCTTCCCCCCCACTTCCCATATTTTCCCATATTTTCCTGGGAATCGAGGATTAATTGTGTCTGTGTGTTTTTTTCCCTCCTGAGCCTGGTCTGACCCGGACCTGCCCACCCGCAGCACGCGGAGGAGCACGGTCTGTGCGCCCGGCTGCCCCGTCAGCTGGACCTGCTGCCTCCAGACGCACTCCTCCGGCCGGGCCCGACTCTCCGACTCGGGTCGGGCGAAAGGGGGGGATAGCAAAGGGCAGGGTGGAGAATCAGCTCACGTAGCTGATTTTCCCGGCGCCTCCCGGCGCCGGGAGCCGCCCATGTATCGAGGAATGGGCCCGGCGGCGGAGCCGAAACCAGCTGCATGCAGCAAATTTCGTAACCCCCCCTTTCCCAATCCCCCCTTTTCGCCCAGCCCGACCGACGGCGCCAGAGTGGAGGGCAGAACATCCACCTCGACGCGCGAAGCCGTTTAGCCGACGCACCCAGAGGAGGAATCAAACAGGGCAGGGCTGTCTGGTGCACGCCCCAGGCCGTCCCAGTAAACGCCAATTGTCCGGTCCGGGTGGTTTTTACTCCCTTGACAGAGGCCTCCCAGGATGGGGTCGGGGGATGGGGCCGCGTTTGCCGATGCATCGTCGATGCACCTTCGACGTCGCCGACGTCTGGGAGACGTCGGGAAGTCTCGGCGGCGTCGGCGTGGAGAAGATCGGGCTCCGCATCGAGCCGCATCGGCGATGCATTGGCGATGCGGCGCGATCCTCCGACCCCATCTGCGCGGCGTTCGGCCACGTGGGAGCTTCCGAAAAAAGCAGGGGGCGGCGGTGATTCGCCGTAGGCGTATTCGATCCGTCGCCCCATGTGGCGTGCAAAACTTCTGTGTCTTTGGTTATTTTGAAGGATCCAGGTGGGGTCTCGGCCCAACCCGCCGGTCGCGAGGAAAGCCTTTCGAGCGTCCGACGCTCCATGACGGCCGTAGGGGCCCCCAAGATCGCCCCAAGGCGGCCCAAGAAGCAGCCAAGACTGCCCCAAGATGGCCCCATAGACCTCCAGGACGGCCCTAAAGGGCCCCCAGAGGGACCCACGACTGCCCAGAGATGGCCCCAAGACGGCCTCATAAGGCCAAGCGGTCAGATCAGAAGCCCCTAGGAGGTCCCCAAGAGGTAGTTGAGGCCCCCAATAGGCTCCTCAGAGGCTCCCAGGAAGCCCCCAGGAGGCCCCAAAAGAGCCTCAAGAGGCCTCCTCTTCCTCCCGTTCCTCCTCCTCCTCATCGTCCTCCTTCCCCACCCTCTCCTCATCCTGTCTCTTACTCTCCCAAGTCCAGGTGTTCCATCCAAAGGGGTTCGACAACGACTGGGATACTCAAAAAGCTTCGATGGGCGTTTCCAGAAAGCGGTGGGCGGGGGCGATTCGCCGCAAGCGTCGTCGATCCCCTTCTCGCAACGCATCGCCCAGGAACCGTTTCTGGAGGGCCCGGTGGGGATACCCGAAAAGACTCAAGGACTTGCCTCGCCGCTCCCGCCCACGTCAAGGGAAACAGGATGGGGACTCCCCAGACCTCTCCCGACGCGCACTCCGACCTGGACTCCGAGGTGCACCCGAGGCCGTGAAGAGGAGGGGTACCCAAAGAGTTGCTAGGAGATGGCGACGAGAGAATCATCTCGGCAACGGTGTGCGTTTCCCCTCTGGGCCGGGAATGCTCGAAGCGTGAATAGAAGAGGCAAGAGAATCCCACCAGCCCTCTGGGCGTCGGTGGTTTAGGGAGTTTCCTCTTCCACCCCTCCTTCTTCCCCTTCGGGGAGGGGCTTACCCCTTCCCCTACCCCCTCCCCATGGACCTGGACAAGGGGGTCCCGCGAGTCGTCGGAGCGTCCAAAACGGCCTCGGCGAGGAAGCCAAAATCATTGGATTTACTAAGGTGTTGGCCCCATATTGGCCTCCTGAGGGGGGGGGCCCTAATCAATGCTCCCCTCTTGTTTGATCGATCTCCTGGAAGATGGCCCCAAGAAGCGCCCAGGAAGCCCCAAGAGGTCCCAAGATGGCCCCAAGATGGCCACAAGAGGCCCCCAAGAGGCCCCCAGGAGGCCCCCAAAAGGATCCCAAGCGGCCCCAAGAAGCCCCCCCGAGGCACCCAAGACGCCGAAAAGCTCCCTACGACCGCCAAGAGACCCCCAAGACGTACCAAGACGCCCAAGAGATATCCCAAGAGGCTCCGTGAAGCATCCAAGAGACATCTGGCCCTTTTGCTTGCTCTCCTCCTCCTCCTCCTCCTCCTCCTTCCTCATCCTATCCCTTCTCATCCTCCTCCTCTTCCCCTCCGTCTCCTCCTCCTCATCCTCTTCATCCTCCTTCTCCCCACTCCCTCATCCATCCATCCAATTTTCTCCTTCGCCCCCCCTCTCTCCTTCACACGGTTCGGACGTCCCCCTCTTTGTTCCCGTCATTCCCTGATCACCTCTCAACTCGCCTGGACATCGTTTCTGGATGGGCTGATGGGGATACGCGAAGCGTCTAGAATAGCAATACGGTAGGAGCTCGACCGCAAGAAACCTTCCAAGAAGCCCAACCCTGAGACCCCATGACGTCCGTTATTTTTGTTGGCGTGGGAACGTCACGATTTCCACAGCAAAACCATCGAAGCCCAAGAAACGCAGTGCACCCTAGAGGCAAGTAGGGTGTTTACTGGCATTCGTTTCCACTGTGATACTAAGAACCCGAAGAGAAGAAACTAGAAGAGTAATACGACACCGAACAGTAGTAGTATTCATAATATGGATATTGATACTATAACTACTAGGGACAATATCGGGGATGGACAGACCCCCCTTTAGCAAAACGTGGTTTAGTGAAAACGACCTGAGGCCCAAACCTGGCGGGCGCATGCCTGGAAAATGACGTCCACGGCGCCCTCTCGAGACCCGAAAACGGACAAATCACTAATCGACGTGTCACTGTTGGGGGTTCTGTCCACCCCCGACAATGTTAATAATCAACATCAACGTAAACATGACTGTCGGAAGTCCGCGCGGATTTCTCTGAGCGGTGCTGGACAACCCGAGCGCGCCAGGAGCGGCGCCAGCAGCTCCACCAGGGGGCGGGGCAACACAGAGAATGTTTACGCACACGTTCCATCCCCCAGCCATAGTTCAACAGGGACCTATCGGACTACCACAAAATCTTCTCGGGTCGGGCGAAAGGGGGGGATAGCAAGGGGGGGGTTTGAGAATCAGCTCACGTAGCTGATGTTCCCGGCGCCTCCCGGCGCCGGAGGCGGCTATGTATCGAGGAATGGGCCTTTCGGTGGGGCCGAAACCAGCTGCATGCAGCAAATTTCGTAACCCCCCCTTTCCCAATCCCCCCCTTTCGCCCGGCCCGATCTTCTCTGAACCGAATAATGTTCTAGCAGCCAAATCACGAGCCTTGGAGTAGACACCCGATGTCTAAAGACCCGACCATCTCAGCCAGGCATCGTTGAAGAAACTGTTTCGCGCAAGCCACAAAAGGTTTCTTCGCACATTCTTTGGTGGGCCTATATTGGGCGCCCGAGTTATCCGGGGTAACTCGGGTCCGGGGTAACTCGGGTTTGGATTCCCGAAAAACGAACCCGAGTTATCCCTGACCCGAGTTACCCCTGATGATTCGGGGCTCTGACTACAGGCACTTTTTCGGACGCGTCGCCGCTGCTCGACGCAGCCGTTCACCCACCCGCTCCTCCATGCCGTCCCGCTCGATGCCGTCCTTCACCTTTTGCTTGCACGGGCGCCCGCCCCGTCCGGCAGCAGCAGAGGGGGCGCACAGGCCCTCGGCACAAGCCCCCTCTGACCGGCCAGGAGCACAGGCGTGCCCAAGCCCATGAAGTTATTGACTACCTACCAAACCACCCCAACCCAACCCGAAGACCCGAATTTCGGGTGGGGGGGGGTATGGGCTCCATATGTGTTTTTTCGATGTGCCCGGACCCCCCCCCACTAGAAGTCGAGGGTAAATCTGAGCCTTCGGGTTGGGTTGGGGTGGTTTGGTGGGTGGTGAGTTATGACTCTGTGTTTCTGAATAAGCGCGGGTGGGTACCCCCCCGACGGGGGTCAACCTCGCCTCGTCGTCGCGCCGCGACGGGGGTCGGAGCGCCTTCGGCGCGCGTTGGCTGCCCGCGACGGGGGTCGATATGGGGCTGTTGGCGGGGGTGACGCCCCCCCCGACGCAGATGAAGAAACTCGTAATCGGTGAACGAACTTTCTATAATTGCACCGACACTTTTTCCGGCTCTGGACTGACACACGCAGAGGCAAGCGGGTCCTGGTGTATACGGGATTCTGGTGTATACACTTTTCGTTGTTTCCCTGGGAGAACGGGGAAACAAGTATACATCACACCACCCCGACGTCGTCCCCGAACCTCAAAAGCCCTGGGATTGAAGAACAGCCCGCCACTGGTAATGTAAATGCTCCAATTTCCGATATTGCATTGACGGAGTGGCAAGACCAACCATCGAATCGGAAAGTCAGATCGAATCGGTATGTGCTTCGGATCGGGCTGCACCTGCACGGATTCGATGTCCGATTTGATCGGCTGCGCCAGGATGTCCAACAATGCTATGCGAGCACGGGGCCGAAGCGGATCGTCGGGATATCGGAATCGGATCGAGCCGGCTGGAATGGATGTCGTACGTATTGAGCAGGTAGCGACCGTCCTGGCATTCCTATAGGCCTACCGCTAAGTGTTCTTAGAACCCAAACATGTTTAAGCAATCAGAACACTTGTCTTCACATATTAACCCGATGTGTGAAAAGAAGACAGTCTCAGCCAGAGATGCTCGAAGAACAGTTCGTGCAGACCACAAAAGGTTCTTAGAACATTCTCTGGTGGGCTCCAAGGGAAGCCAGGATGCCTCGCCACTGATTGAACGTGACCGATCGGATCGGGAGTGGCCCTGCGCGGTGTGCCCTGCTTGCCTCCGCCAGCGTCGACCGCCTTGCTCCTGTGCCGCCCCCTGCCCCTGCCGTCGTTCTCGCTCGCCGCGCAGGACGCTGCCGGCCCCCTCCCTGGGGGCGCTCTCTCCCCCTCTCTCGGTGGCTGGCCCGCATTTTCCGCGCCTTCCCTCCCTCCTCTCCCTCCTCCTCCTGCTCCTCCTCGTCCTCCTCCCCCTCCTCCTCCTCCTCCTCCTCCTCCTCCTCCTCCTCCTCCTCCTCCTCCTCTGGCGGCGCGCCAGGGGAGAGGGCGGGCGCGAGAGGAGCGGGCGCGCCAGACGGCACATGGGGGAGCTCCTCGCCAGGGCTCGGAGGCAGGCCCCGCAGGAGCCGCGGAAGCCTCTGTGACGCCCCCTCCCTGGAAGGCCGCCGGCCCCCTCGCGCCAGCCTTTTTGGACGCCCGACATGGGTACCGAAATAACTGGGTACGATGCCCAACAACAAATGTTGTCCCAAACCAACAGCGGCCGCTGTTGGGCAGGCGGCCTTCTGTTTCAAATGAACACAGGCCGCGGCGGCGTGGACAGCGAGTCCTGTTCAAAATGAACAGGAACTGCTGTTGGGCATTGTACCCATTCCTTCGGTGCCCATGTCGGGCGTCCAGAGCCTTACTTAGGTCAGGCCGGTCCCCCTTACAGGGGGATCTGGGACGAAGAATAACACATCGTCAAACAAGATGCTAAACATACTCTACAACATACTTGGGAAATCCCACCAGCCCTCTGGGCGTAGGTAGTTTAGGGAGGTTCCTCTTCCATCTTCCCTTCTTCCCCTTCGGGGAGGGGTTTACCCCTCCCCCTAACCCCCTCCCCTGGACCTGGACGGGCCCGGTCGCGAGCGGTCAGAGTGTCCAAGATGACTTCCAAGATGGCTCAAGATAGCCTAAGATGCCGCAAGATGGCTCCAAAGATGCTCCAAGACGCTCTCATAACGCTCCAAGACAGCTCCAAGAGGCCAATTACCTCCCCAAGGAGGCCCCCCGAGAAGCCAAAATCCTTCAAAAACCTAAGGAACACCCATGATTTTCGGCTTCTCGCCTTTTCGCTTCCAATGGCCATCTGAGGCCTCAACATGGCTCCAAGAGGGGCCAAGGAGGCCCCAAGAGGGGCCCAAGAGGGCCCCAAGACGGCCCCAAGAGCGCCCAAGAGCGCTCCAAGAGCGCCCCAAGAGGGGTCCAGGCGGCTATTTTGGGAGCTCCCGAGGGGCAGGGTTAATTAGGGAACCCCTCTTCTTTGATCGATCTCCTCCAAGATGGCCCCAGGAGGCGCCCAGGAGGCCCCAAGAGGCTTCCAAGAGGCCTCCAAGAGGCCCCAAGAGGCCGCCATGAGGCCCCAAGAAGCCTCCAAGAGGCTCCAAGAGGCTCCCAGGATGGTTCCAAGAGGCCTCCAAGAGGCTCCAAGAGGCCGCCATGAAGCTCCAAGAGACCCCAAGAGGCCCCAAGAGGCCTCCAACAGGCCCCCAAGAGCCCCCCAAGAGGATCCCAAGCGGCCTCAAGACGCCCCCCCGAAGCACCCAAGACGCCCAAGAGCCCCCATTGACCGCCAAGAGACCCCCAAGACGCCCGAAGAGGCTTCCAAAAGGCTTCCAAGAGGCATCCGAGCGGCATTCAACCATCCACCCAGCGTCATCATTCTCCTCATCCCTCCTTCGCTCGGTTCCTCGCCACCCCCTCATCTATCCATCTGGCCTCCTCTTCCGCCTCATCCTTTGCACGGATCGGCTGTCCCTCTCGTTGCTCCCCCACTTCCCTGGTCTCTTCAACTTGCCTGGACATCGTTTCTGGATGGGCTGGTGGGGATACGCGAAGCGTCAAGAATTGTCAATCAACTATTTGTCCGTACTATTTTGGAAGATTCCTCCTGTGGAGGGGCAGCCCCGACTTACGTGAAGCCCCCCCCGCCTCCCTGGAAGGCCGCCCGCCCCCTCGCGCCAGCCCCGAGTCGGCATGGCGGGCAGCTGCTGGAGGGCCGCGCTCGCTCAGGAGGTCGGGCGCGCTCGGAAATTAGGCTCCAGTCGGGCATGTCTCCCCCTGCAGGCGCCGTTTTGGACGAGCAGTGAACCATAGTCAAAACATATTCCAAAACTTACCATAAATAGGCGAAGCATCGTCCCCGGACTATTTCTTGAAGGCTCCCGCCCGTGCGCACGGTGTCCAGTCACGCAGCGCGGCGCCCGCCGAGTCGCACAGTGAGCGGGCGTCGCAAGGCGTGCCCCATGGCCCAAAGTGCCCCCGGGATCTCCAAGGAGGCCCCCGCGACTTCTAGAGAGCACCCCTGGCGAGGCTCAGGGGGTCCCGGGGGCTCCAAAGCAGAGCGAAAACCTCAGGGGGTACCATGGGCCAGGGGCACTTTCAGCAACCGCCGAAGTGAGCCCCTCCACCAGTCGGGGGGGGGAAGGGGGGAGGGCACCGACGCCTGGGAGGAGAAGGCTGGCAAGCCACCCCTGAGAAATCGGAGCCCGAAGTCGAATCGAACCGAATTGGAAGCCATCGAGGTCGAACCGAACCGAATCGAAGGAATCGAGACAAGCCCGAGGGAGGGGAGGAGGAGGAGGAGGAGGAGGAGGAGGAGCAGGAGGAGGAGGAGGAGGAGGAAGGAGAGGAGGAGGAGGAGGAGGGAGGAGGAGGAGGAGGAGGAGGAAGGAGGAGGAGGAGGAGGGAGGCGGAGGGAGGGAGGAGGAGGAGAGGAGAGGAGGAGGAGAGGAGGAGGAGGAGGAGGAGGAGGATGGAGGAGGAGGAGGAGTGGAGGAGGAGGGAGGAGAGGAGGAGGGGGGGGAGGAGGAGGAGGAGGAGGGGAGGAGGAGGAGGAGGGGGGGGGAGGAGGAGGCACCGACAGGAGTGGGGCGACGCCGGCGGGCCGCTCCACCGCGGCGGCGCCGCGCGCGGGCGGTCCCTCTCTCCCGGAGGGGGCGGGGGGGGGACGGGGGCCCGCACGCCGGGGCGCCTCCGTTGTCCTCTCGCTGCCGCGGACGCCGTCCCAGCCGACCGAGACGAGGTACCTCGGCGGGGGAGGAGAAACACACGCACGCACGCACGCACGCACGCACGCTCGCAGGCACGCACGCAGGCACACAAGCACACACACACAAGCACAACACAAACACACACACGCACACGCAAACACAAACACACACTCACACACAAGCACAAACACAGACGTATACAAAGACAGACAGACAGACAGACAGACAGACAGACAGACAGACAGACAGACAGACAGACAGACAGACAGACAGACAGACAGTCAGACACAGACACACACACATACACACTCATAACACACGTTCTTCCATGTGCACCGATACGATGTAAATCTAGCAGGCAGATTATATCTGTCATGGATTGTGGAGAGGGCTACCCCGGCCAACCCTCTGCGACCGACCCTCGTCAACCCCGCCTGCCAACCCCTGCTGGCCAACTTTGGTCAGGGTGGTTCCTTCCATCATCCCCCCACCGTGCCTCTGGGCACGGAGTGGGCGTGTCCTCAGGTCCTGGATCTTTACGGCAGGTTCGTGTCGTGCCGACCCCGGCGTTGGTTTTTGACGCCGCAGGGATCGTTCAACCTTGAACGATCGGCCATTTCCGCAACGTCCAATCGTTCAACATCGATCGATTCTGGGTCGCCGGCGGCGTTCAACCTTGAACGCCCGCGCTGGGGTCGCCGCTGGTCGACACGACGCGAACCTACCGTAGGGGTCTTTGAAGGGCCTGGACCCCAACTTCCGAAATCCCTCGGGGCGGGGCTTCCAGCGTGCCCCTCGGGCTCCGGCGCGTCTCGTCGCGTCAATTTTCCGGGCCCAAGAAGGCCCCAAGACGGGCCAAGAGGGCCCCAAGAGGCCCCGAAGACGCTCCAAGAGGGCCCCGAAGTCGCCGAACGATCACTCCAAGACGCCCAGGATGGCTCCCAGACGGCCCAAGAGGCCACCAGGACGCCCCAAGAGGCCTCCGAGAGGCCTCCCAAGAGGACTGGCTTTCCTCAGGTGTCTCAAACATTTTGGGCTTTCTCACCTTTTCGGCTTCCCGACGCTCCAAGACAGCCCACCAGGCTCCCAAGATCGCCCCAAGACGGCCCAAGAGGCCTCCAAGAGGGCCCCAAAACGTCTCAGGAGGGCCCCAAGACGGCCCAGGAGGCGTCCAAGACGCCCCTAGAGGGCCCAAAGACGGCCCCCAAAGGGGCCAAAGAGAGGGCACATGAACCGAAAAGTCTTCCGCCCCAAGAGGCCCCCCAAAGGCCCCCAAAGGACCCCAGGAGGGTCCCGGGGGGCCCCCGGGGGGCCCCCAGAGGCTCCCAAGAGACCCAGAAGAGGCACCGAGAGGGCACCAAAACAGCACAAAAGATGCTTCAAATCTCAAAACTGCGTCTAAGAGGCCCCCGAGAGGCCTCCCACGAGATCCCAACGAACATCCAATAGACTTCATACCCACAACCAGGCACGGTGGCGGGATGGGCCGAAGGTCATTTGACCTGCTTGGCACGGGGACGGAAAGCGCACTTACTTTCAGAGCACACGAGATCGCTGGCTCGTCCGCTCTTACACCTCTTATTGACTCCCTTCCCCTCGCTCTTGTTCTATCTCAGCCTCGGAGAGTCGCGGAGCTTTCTTTGAGCGCGTTTCTTGTTTTGGAGGCGGCGGTCGGGTCGCGTTGCGTTTTTCCGCGTTTGGGCTGCCAGCTTTCCAGAACCCCGCGTTGTCCTTGCGTGGGCCGCTCGTTGTCCACGCGTTGCCGCCCGTCCCTGTGCCCTGGCGTCAAGAACTTCTTACGCCGCAGCTCTCTGTTGGGAGCTTTGGTCTTATCAGCTCGATAACGTCACCGCTCGCTCTTGGGAGCCGCGGTGCTAAGAGCCTTTGGGAGTATTTTGGGCCTCTTGGGGGGCTCCTGGGGAGCCTCTTGGGTGCCTCTTGGGGACCTTTTGGGGCTTTTCGGGGGCCTCTGGGGGCCTCCTGGGAGCTTCTGGGCTGCGGGGGTGAAAGGACTAGGCTGCCTTTGGCCGTCTTTGGGTTCTCTTGGGGGCCCTTTGGGGCCTTCTTGGGGCCGTCCTGGCGCCATTTTGGGCCGTCTCTTGGGCCGTCTTGGCGCCCTCTTGGGCCGTTTTGGGGCCTTCTTGGGGGCCTCTTGGGCCTTCTTGGGGCGCTCGTGGGGGCCTCTTGGACAGTCTTGGACGCCTCTTGGCCCGTCTTGGCGCCCTCTTGGGCTATTTTGGGGGCCTCTTGGGAACATCTTGGGCCGTCTTGGGGCGGTCTTGGGGCCTCTTGGACCGTCTTCAACGCCATGAAAGGCGAAAAGCCGTATATGTTAAAAATTCACGTTTTCCTTAAGAAAATCAATTAGTTTGGCCGCTTGGGACCCTCTTGGGACGCCTCGTGGGCGCCTCCTGGGGCGTCGTGGAGGCCTCTTGGGACGTCTTGGGGCCGCCTTGGGCTCTCTTGGAGCGCTCTTGGGCCGTCTTGGGCGCTTCTTGGGCCGTCTTGGGCCGTCTTGGTCGACGTCTTGGCCGCTTCTTGGGCTGTCTCAGGCGCCTAAGACGGCCCAAGAAGCGCCCAAGAAGCGTTTTCCGATGATGTCTCGAGCGAAACGCTGTTTTTAAGCCCCGACGGCCGTCCTACTCGATTAAACAACGAGGCGGGAAGGCAATTAGACCTGGGCCGGCACGGAAACGGAAAGAGCGCTTCAGGAACTTGACCGAAAGTACTCGCAACACCATTCGTACTGTGAGCCTTGGCGTTGAGAGCTTGTTACGTCACCCCGCGCTCCGCCTCCTCCTCCTCCTCCTCCTCCTCCTCCTCCTCCGCCTCCTCCGCCTCCTCCTCCTCCTCCTCCGCCTCCTCCTCCGCCTCCTCCTCCTCCTCCTCCGCCTCCGCCTCCTCCGCCTCCTCCGCCTCCTCCGCCTCATCGGCCTCCTCCTCCGCCTCCTCCGCCTCCTCCTCTTCTTCCTCCTCTTCCTCCTCCTCTTCTTCCTCCTACCTCCTCTCATATTGAGTGGCTCCTCTTCGTCCCTCGTCCTCCTTTACTCCGCCTCCGTCCTCTCCTCGCCTCCTCCTCCTCCTCCTCCCTCCTCCTCCTCCTCCTCCCCTCCTCCTCCCTTCCTCCCCCCCCCCTCATCCTCCTCCTCCATCCTCGCCGCCTCCTCCTTGTCTCCTCCTCCTCCTCCTCTCCGCCTCCTCCTCCTTCTCTCCTCCTCCTCCCTCCTCCTCCTCCTCTTTCCCCTCACTCCTCCTCCCTCATCCTCCTCCTCCTTCTACTCCTCCTCCTCCCCCTTCCTCCTCCTCCTCCTCTCCTCCTCCTCCTCCTCCTTTCCCTCCTCTCCTCCTGCCTCCTCCTCTCCTCCTCCTCCTCTCCGCCCCCCTCCTCCTTCTACCTCCCTCCTCCTCCCTTGGCCTCGTCCTCGTTCCTCCTCCTCCTCCTCCTCCTCCTCCTCCTCCTCCTCCACCTCCTCTTCCTCCCCCTCCTCCTTCTACCTCCCTCCTCCTCCCTTAGCCTCGTCTTTGCATCCTCCTCCTCCTCCTCTCCCTCCTCCGCCTCCTCCCCTCTTGCTCCTCCTCCTCCTTCCTCCTCCTCCTCCTCTCCTTCCCCTCCCCCTTCTCCCCCTTCTCCTCCTCCTCTTCCTCCGCTCCTCCTCTCCTGCTCCTCCTCCTTCTCCCTCCCTCCTCCTCCCTTGGCCTCCTCCTCCTCCTCCTCCTCTCCTCCTCCTCCTCCTCTCCTCCTCCTCCCCCTCCTCCTCCTCCGCCTCCCCCGCCTCCTCGTGTTTTCCCTCCTTCCTCCTCCTCCTCCTCTCCTCCTCCTCTCCCTCTTTCCTCCTTTCTCCTCCTGCTCCTCCGCCCCTCCTCTTCTCCTCCTCCTCCTCCTCCTCTCTCCTCTCTCCTCCTCTTCCTCCTCCTCCTCCTCCTCCCTCCTCTCCCTCCTCGTCCTCCTCCTCCTCCTCCTCCTCCTCCTCCTCCTCCTTCTTCTCCTCCTCCTCCTCCTCCTCGTCGGGCGCGCTGGGGAGCCTATTGGGGCCATCTTTGGCTCGCTTAGGGCCCTCGGGGCCCTCTTGGCCGTATTTGGACCGTCAGGGGGCCATCGTGGGCCGTTTTGGGCCCCTTTGGGGCGCCTCTGGGGCCGTCTTGGGATGATATTTGGGGCCTCTTAGGCCGCCTTCCTCCTCCTCCTCCTCCTCCTCCTCCTCCCCCTCCTCCTCGTCGGGCGCGCTGGGGAGCCTATTGGGGCCATCTTTGGCTCGCTTAGGGCCCTCGGGGCCCTCTTGGCCGTATTTGGACCGTCCCATCGTTTTTGGGGCGCCTCTGGGGCCGTCTTGGGATGATATTTGGGGCCTCTTAGGCCGCCTTGGGCCCGTCTGGGGGCCATCTTGGACCGTTTTGGGCCTGTTTGGGGCACCTTCGGGGCCGTCTTGGGACGACCTTTGGGGCCTCTGGGCCGTCTTGGGCCCGTCGGGGGAAGAAGCGGGCCATGGGAGCCGCCCGGGAGCCGCTTCACTCGAAACAATACTAAGGAAACGGGCCATTAGACCATTCCGTCCCCGCCTCGCACCCCCCCTGGACCCCCCCTAAGAAGGGCTTCGCCCCCTACTCAACGTCACTCGCTCGTACCTCGCTCTTTCGTCACCTGCTTGGCACAGGGACGGAAAGCGCACCTACTTTCAAAGCGCACGGGATCGCTGGCTCGTCCGCTCTTACACCTCTTATTGACTCCCTTCCCCTCGCTCTTGTCCTATCTCAGCCTCGGAGAGTCGCGGAGCTTTCTTTGAGCGCGTTGATTGTTTTGGAGGGGGCGGTCGGGTCGCGTTGCGTTTTCCGCGTTTGGGCTGCCAGCCTTCCAGAACCCCACGTTGTCCTTGCGTGGACCGCTCGTTGTCCACGCGTTGCCGCCCGTCCCTGTGCCCTGGCTGCAAGAACTTATTACGCCGCAGCTCTCTGTTGGGAGCTTTGGTCTTATCAGCTCGATTACGTCACCGCTCGCTCTTGGGAGCCGCGGTGCTAAGAGCCTTTGGGAGTATTATGGGCCTCTTGGGGGGCTCTTGGGGAGCCTCTTGGGTGCCTCTTGGGGACCTTTTGGGGCTTCTCGGGGGCCTCTGGGGGCCTCCTGGGAGCTTCTGGGTGGCGGGGGTGAAGGGACTAGGCTGCCTTTGGCCGTCTTTGGGCTCTCTTGGGGGCCTCTTGGGGCCTTCTTGGGGCCGTCCTGGGGCCGTCTTGGGCCGTCTTGGCGCCTCTTGGGCCGTCTTGGCGCCTCTTGGGCCGTCTTGGCGCCCTCTTGGGCCGTTTTTGGGCCCTCTTGGGGGCATACTGGGCCTTCTTGGGGCGCTCTTAGGGGCCTCTTGGACAGTCTTGGGCGCCTCTTGGCCCGTCTTGGCGCCCTCTTGGGCTATTTTGGGGACCTCTTGGGAACATCTTGGGCCGTCTTGGGGCGGTCTTTGGGGCCTCTTGGACCGTCTTCAACGCCATGAAAGGCGAAAAGCCGTATATGCTAAAAATACACGTTTTCCTTAAGAAAATCAATGATTTTGGCCTCGTGGGGCCCTCTTTGGACGCCTCGTGGGCGCCTCCTGGGGCGTCGTGGAGGCCTCTTGGGACGTCTTGGGGCCGCCTTGGGCGGTCTTGGGCTCTCTTGGAGCGCTCTTGGGCCGTCTTGGGCGCTTCTTGGGCCGTCTTGGGCCGCCTTGGGCGCCGTCTTGGCCGCTTCTTGGGCTGTCTTAGGCGCCTAAGACGGCCCAAGAAGCGCCCAAGAAGCGTTCTCCGATGATGTCTCGAGCGAAACGCTGTTTTTAAACCCCGAAAGCCGTCCTACTCGATACAAAAACGAGGCGGGAGGGCAATTAGATCCGGGCCCGCGAATGCCAACCCCCTCGAACTCCCCCAAATCCAATTTCTTCCGACTAACGGACCGCACGCTAACGCGCGCTTTCCGTCATCCGGGTCTGGCGATGCCACCCTCGACTCGAACTCCCCCAAGTCCAATTTCTTCCGACTAACGGACCGCACGCTAACGCGCGCTTTCCGTCATCCGCCGCCCCCTGTTGATTTATCACAGGGGTGCCTGGCGTGCTAGATCCTAGGGTTTTTGGTTTTAGCTCTTTTTCAAAAGATCCCCCTGGGGCTTGGCGTGCTGGATCCCCCTGGGGCTTCGGCACAGCCCGCTGGCCACCTTGAAGAGACCGGAAAGCACGTCTCCGTGCGCAAGACGTTCTCTAAGACGGCTCAAGATGTCCTTTCCGACGGCCAAGATGTCTCAAGGTGGCCCCCAAATTGCCTCCAAGATGGCCACAAGAGACCCCAACATGGCCACCAGGTACACCCAAGACGGGCCAGGATGGCCCCAAGACAGCCTACGAGGGCCCGAAAGGTCCGCAAAACGCCTCCAAGAGGCCAAAATCATTGATTCGCCCCAGGTGTTCGAAGAATTCTAGCATTTGTTTTGTGTTGTCGGCCTTCTAACGGCCCGAGATGGCCAAAGAGCACCCAAAGATCGCCTCAAGATCGCCCAAGAGGCCTCTAAGATGGCCCGAGAACGGCCCAAGAGGCCCCCACGACGGCTCCAAGACGGCGGCCGAAAAGGCCTCCAAGACGCCCAAGATGGCCTCCAAGACGGCCCTGGAACACCTCCAAAGAGCCCCAAGTCGGCCCAGAGAGGCCCCCGAGACGGCTTCCAACGGCGTCAGAGGGGCCAGGAACACCCTAAGACGGGCAAAGAGGTCCCCGAGAAGCCCCCCAAAGGCCCCCACGAGGCCCAAGGAGGCCCCCAAGATGCCTCCAAGAGGCACCCAGGAAGCTCCCAGGAGGCCCCAAGAGTGCCCCCCAGATGCCCCCCCCTCCTCCTCATCATCATCACCATCATCATCGGATCATCCTGATCTTCCCGCCAATGCTTTCATGTGTGCATGTACAACTGTATGTCCTTCTCATGGCTGCGGGTGGAAACCTGGCCCCCACAGAAGCCGACCAAGCCACAACCAGGGGGCAGCTGCAATCCTACGACCCCCCCTGGGGCGGAGCCCATTAAATCGACGATCTCCCGCGCCGATGCCGACGGGCCTCCCAGGGGGTAACGGAGGAACAAACGACGATACAACAAACCTCTCGGAGTCACGCGCGAGTGTCTCGGGTCGGCGCGCCAGGAGAGGTGGGGTCGGGCGCCGACCAGAACACTCTTGTACTGGACCACCGGCAGTATGCGCTTGTGTAGTTTCACTTGCTTCGGGGTGCGCCACCGGCGAAGGGCTGAAACAATCGTCGTTCTGAACCAGCCTCTGCGCGCTGACTTCCGAAGCCGCCTCGCACACCCTCTGCGTCCAGGCGCGTGCCGGCGCGCCGATCCGCCGCGCGCCCTCATCGCTGAGCCCCCTCGCCATCGCTCGGACGTCCCTTCCCCGTGCATCTCTTTGCTTCGTGCATACGTTGCTTCGCAAGAGGACCCAAGAGGCTCCTCGATGGTCTTCGCCGAGGAGAAGTACACACGTCCGAGCGATGCCAAGCGATGGCGTGCTCTGTCTAAAACAGGGCTAGGATCGGGATAAATCGCTCCAGAGCGTTCCGGAGCGCTCTCAGAGCGTTCCGGAACGCTCTGGAGCGGCCGCGGCGCCCAATACATCCTCCAAACCCGCCGATTCTCAGAGATTTCGAGTTATCCCGATCCGATTTTGTCCCGATCTTCGTGTCGTTTTACTGTCTGCAGGGGCACCTTCCCAGCTCACCCGTGCGCTGGCGAGGCAGGCGCATCTTGTCCAGCTGCGTCCAGATGCTGCGCGGCGGGGCAGCAGCCTGCCCCCGCTCCGTCCTCGGCTCGAGGGGGGGAAGGAGGACGACGTCGCCGCGGTCGCTTCGGACTCCTTTGGCCGAGGGCTCTCGCCGCCAACGCCGGGCGCGTCTCGAACAGCTGGCCAGGATGGGCCCCAGGAGGGAGTCCGGGGACCGAGAGGGATACCTAGACCTCTGAAACACTGTGACGACCTCAACGTTTGATTGACAAACACAACGGCCGAGAGGCGTGCAGCTTGAACAGGCGTGGCAAAGAGGATAAGAACAGGTATACGAGCGCCCGAAGGGGCGTAGAGTTTGCACGTTTGATTGTGTCTGGGCCGTTTCTTGGGCTTCCGGGAGGCCCCTCGTCGCTGCGGACGCCTTCCCTTCGAGCTGCTCGCCAGGACGCACGCTGGGGCATCCGGAATGCCATGTTTGACACCCCAGACGCAGGAAGCCTTCAACCGAAATCCGTACGCTCTTGTGATTCAGATTCTCTGCCTCTGGAGGCTGCCAGCTCGTGACTGCTGGATCGATGGTTCTCGCCGACGGCGCACCGCTGTTCCGCTGGCCCCTCCAGGGGCGCGCTCTGGACAGGATCCTGAAGCAAACTCGGGCGTCGCAGCGAGGGCCCCGCAGAAGGCCCCCCTCGAAAGGTAAAAACGAGGGAAGGGCACATCACGCTACCCGCAGGAACGATTCATAAAGAACGAACCGGGGCTTCTGGCTACGGCGAGCCTCGGCCGTTCGGGACGACTCGGGCCCCCCCCGAACGCTCTGGGCGAGGCGCACGCTATCCCTGTGAGGCGATCCCCCCGCGGAGGTCCCATACTGTGCACGCCATCCCCTCTGGCAGGGCTTCGTCGGTGCACGCTACCACCGAGGTGGGGGATACGAATATGTGTCATAATTAAACGTGCCAGCGGCGACACGTCGCACGCTATACATTTACATGCACAGATACCTACCTACCTACCTACCTACCTACCTAACTACATACATACATACATTCATACATACATATACATACATACATATACATACACACATACATCCATACATACACACATACATACACACATACATACACACATACATACATACATATATGCATACATACATAGGTATATACATACATACATACATACATGCATGCATGCATGCATACATACATACATACGTACGAACGTACGTACGTACGTACGCACATACATACATACATACATACATACATACATACATACATACACACATACATGCATACATGCATACATGCATACATGCATACATGCATACATTCATACATGCATACATGCATACATGCATACATCCATACATCCATACATTCATACATCCATACATACATGCATACATATACATATATATATATGCATGTATGCATACATACATACATGCATACATACATATGTATTTTATACATATATATATGTATATGTATACATGCATGCATGCATGCATGCATACATACATACATGCATACCTACACATACATACATACATACACACATACATACATACATACACACATACACACATACACACATACATACATACATACATACAAACATTACGTACATACACACATACATACATACATACATACATACATACATACGTATACACATACATGCACACATGCATACATACATACATACATCCACACATATGTACATACAGACATACATATATACATGCATTCACACATATAAACATACACGTATACATACATGCACACACATATATACACATACATACAACCATACATACATACGTACATACATACATACAACCATATATACATATATGCACGTATACATCCATACATACATACAAACATACACACATCCATACATACAAACGGGCGGACGGACGGACGGATAGACATATATACATACACGCACATATACATGTATATATAGATATATAAGAACGTAGGCATACGTGTATAAATATGCATGCGTGTATGTATATATATATATATATATATATATATATTTCAGATTCAACACCATCCGTTGAACCTCTGCTTGGGCGCCCACGATGGGTACATGGGCACGGGAAAACGGGTACGATGCCCAACAACACATGTTATCCAAAACCGACAGCGGCCACTGTTGAGCAAGTGGTCTGTCTCACATGGACAACGTCGCCCGCCACGCCGACAGCGAGTCTCGTCAAAATGGACAGGACTGCTGTCGGCCTTCGCGCATTTCCTTTCCGAACAAATGTCGATCGTCCCGATGGAGCCCCGTCCGTACCCTGTTCGATGCCGGGAATCGGCGCAAACGTCCGAAAGCCTCGAATTCCTTCCGCCCGAGATAAAGAAACAATATCAAGGCATGAACAAACTTGCGGAGGCCCGCGCATCTTGGATCTGTGCCAGACCCCATCCCAGGCGCGCGGAGCGCGCTTGGGGCGGCGCCAGAGGCGCCGCCAGGGGGCCCAGCGCCGATCCGAGAAATCCGCGTGGACTTTCGACAATGCATGTTTACGCCATTTTTCTCTTTCGAGAAAGAGCGCCCGAAAGCGTCGAACACATTCCGCCCGAAAACCTCCAGAACCCATCTCGCCTGAGGGGCAACGCTAGGTGGGGACTGGCTCAGGGGGGGCAAACGTCGACCTGCAATCGGCGATGCATCGCAAATAGATCGCCGAGAAGCCCCCGATAGCGAATCCGCATCATCCCCGCTGGGTGGGGCTATCGAGTCCCTATTGGTGATCAGTGGGCAATTGGGGGTCGATGCGCTCCCCGCGCTCCCACCTCTGAGCATATCTCTGCACTGGTCATAAATTGGCTCTCCGGCCGCCGTCTGGAACGACTCTGGCATCCCAGGCAAGCCTCCGACGAGGGTCAGCTGCTGGAGAACATCCCGATGCTCGGAAACGGCGGACGAGAACCGAGGAAGCTCCACAAGAAACTCTACAACATCCCCCCTGTCCTTGCCCCTGGCTGGCGAACGCGCCCGGAAATTTCCAATCCCTTCCGCCCAAACACCAGCAGAATCATCCTTCAGCTCAGGGCTTCACGACTTCTGCCGTCCCCGGACTCGCGCTGGACCGGCCACGATTTGCTACCAATTTCCTTGGGGATCTTTCGGAGGAAGTGAGTACATGAGATCGTGGGGGAGCCCGCCTGATTGCTAGGTGCCTCGGTGTCGGGCAGGCGCGCCGGAGCACACTGTGGCTCTATCGCGTCGCGTGCCGTGACCAGTTGCGGAATCACCGCCTGCTGGCCTTGGCACAACGATCATGGGGGTACTGTGATACTTCCGTGCACCGAGGTCCCGCCAGTTTTTGATTGCGATGCTCTGATTCGGGGACCCTGATGGACTGTTGTTGTTGTTGGGGATCTTTTGGGTTAATCTGGACTTGCCCGGGTTTCCAAGGGTCCACCACGGTTTATCTGCATCTACCTCCATTTATAACAGGGGATATGTCGACCCCTATCCCAGGCTTCGTGGGGTTTCCGAATGGACCAGAAATTTGGGGCCTAACCCTGGGATGTACGATGGGGGGGCGTCCATCCTCGACAGGGGTGCGTCCGAATAGCCCCCTCGGGATGTATCCCAAGATTCCTCCCCTTTTCTGAGCGACCAAACTTCTCTGGCGGAAGTCGGGGATTGGGGGAGAGAAATCGCCTGCGAATTTACCCAGCTTCGCCCCTCGATATGCCTGGGTTTCCAAGGGTCTACCACGGTTTATCTGCATCTACCTCCATTTATAAAGGGAAATTAGGACACACAAATAAATACACACAAATAAAAATAGTCCCCATATTTTCCCATATTTTCTGGGTTTTTGTCTTCCCCCCCAATTCCCATATTTCCCCATATTTTCCTGGGAATCAAGGATTAATTGTGTCTGTGTGTTTTTTTCCCCTCCTGAATTTACCCAGCTTCGCCCCTCGATTGCCGACAACAAAATCGCCACGCCCTCGGACGCCCATCCCCCGTGGCCGTGTCGGTTTCCTGCGCGCCGCTGTCGCAAGATGACCCCAAAAATGCTCCTCGCGGGCCCTCGCCAGGGAGAAATCCACACCTCCGAACGATGCCAGCAGAGCGTGTCTTTTTTTTGGGACTCGGGCGAGTTTGCTTGCATGGCGTTCCCCCCCCCCACCTCCCCACCCCCTCGCCCCTCTTCAAGCGAACACTAGCGTGCAAGTGCCTCTCGACTGGCGTGATTTCCCCGCCCCCCCCCCCCCCCCGGGGCTTGCTTCAGGCTCCCCCCCCCCCCCGTCCACGCAACTAAACTTGCCAGAATCTAAGACAAAACAGGCTCAAATTGTGGGTTCCTCTCGCCCGCCCCGGCGCGGCCGTCCTCGCCGCCGAGGCGCGCCGCCCGCCCTCCGCGCGGCGCCCGCGGCCGGCGGCGCCTCGGCGCGGGGGCTCCCCGGCGGCCGTGTGGGGGCGGCCTGCTGGGGATCGGGGCGTCGCTGTGGCAGCAAGCGGGGGGGGGGGAGCTCGGGGCCCAAGGAGAGGCTCCTCCTGCAGCTCCCCTTCTCAGTTACTTGGTTATGCGGGCGGGTTCTCCTGACGAGAGGCGGCGGCCTCTGCAACTCCCCCTCTTTGTTTTCCTCCTCCTCCTCCTCCTCCTCCTCCTCCTCCTCCTCCTCCCCCTCCTCCTCCCCCTCCTCCCCCTCCTCCTCCTCCTCCTCCTCCTCCTCTTCCTCCTCTCCTCCTCCTCCTCCTCCTCCTCCTCCTCCTCCCCCTCCTCCTCCTCCTCCTCCTCCTCCTCCTCCTCCTCCTCCTCCTCCTCCTCCTCCTCCTCCTCCTCCTCCTCCTCGTTTTCCCCTTCCTTCCTTCTCCTCCTCCTCCTCCTCCTCTTATTGTTATTATTAATGTAATGATTGTTCGTCATATTCTTCTTATTCTTATTCTGATGCGTCTGTTTGTTCTTCTTATTAGTATTATTATTCATATTATTTTCTTATTCTTATTATTTTTCCTCCTCCTCCATCCTCCTCCTCCTCCTCCTCCTCCTCCTCCTCCCCCTCCTCCTCCTCCTCCTCCTCTCCTCTCTCCTCCTCCTCCTCCTCCTCCTCCTCCTCCTCCTCTCCTCCTTCCTCCTCCCTCCTCCTCCTCCTCCGTTCCCTCCGTTTCTTCCTCCTCCTCCTCCTCCTCCTCCTCCTCCTCCTCCTCCTCCTCCTCCCCCTCTTCCTCCTCCTCCTCCCCCTCTTCCTCCTCCTGCGCCGCGCGCGGGTCTCTCCCGCGGCTGGAGCTCAGTGTCGGGAGCTGGCGCGAACCCCCCACCCCAGGTGCGGCCCACCTCTCGGCGGCGAGCCGCCCCCGAGGAGGAAGGGGCGCGCTGGCCGGGGCCGATAGCTGGCTCACCCAGGACCACGTAGGCGAGCGCCTTGTCCTCGTGGCCGCCGGGCTTGCCGCCTGGGCCCTGCGGCCCCGCCGGCAGGCGCCAGCCCGCCGCTCGCGGCCCGGCGGGCAGCGCCGCCCCGCCCCACCCCGCCGTCAACCAGCGCGCCAGCCCGCCAGCGCGCCCCGCCAGGCCGGCCCGCGCCGCCTCCCGTGCCCAGCAGCAGCAGCAGCAGCAGCAGCAGCAGCAGCAGCAGCAGCAGCAGCAGCAGCAGCAGCAGCAGCAGCAGCAGCAGCAGCAGCAGCAGCCCCGCGCCGTCCGCCCGCCCGGCGGCAGTGGCCCGCAGCAGCGCGGCGCCCGCCTGCCGGCCAGCGCGTCGGGCCCGCTCGCTGGCCGCACGGGCCGCCTGGTCAGCGGTCAGCAGTCAGCTGCCGGGTCCGCGGCGGGCAGCCGCGGCGCCGCGGCGCCCTGTGGCAACGCGGCCATGCGCCAGGCCTCCGCGCTGCCACGCTGCAGTGTCGCTGAAAGGCTCTGCCGCGCGGCCGCCAAGACCTGCGGGCTCCCGGCGGCCCGGGTGCGCAGCAGGGCCTGCGCCCCCTTGCCAGGCCCAGCGTCTCCAGGGCGAAAGCGCGCAGCGCAGGCTCCAGGTAACGTCGGTGCTCGCGCTCCTCGGCCGCCGCAGCCGCGGCGCCGCCCCGCGTCGCGCGGCTGCGGCCGGCGCCCGTGCGAGCCCCGAGCGCGGCGTCGGTGACTGTGACGTCGACGAACTGCCGCATTGCCAGTGGGTCAAGGAACGCCACGTCGAGGAGCAGCTTCCACGCCGCCATCTGGGCGGGCGCGGTCCCAGCGGGCACGTCCTGTTCGGTGGCCACGCCAGCGGCGCCGCGCTCAGCCAGCCAGCCAGCCAGCCGGCCAGCCGCTCGCGCAGGCCATCGTTCTTGTCGATGGCCAGCGACAGGGGCAGCTCGCCGCGTGGCCAGGGTTTGCCCGCAGGTCGCAGCCGCAAGCCGTGCCGTCGCGCCTCTGTCGCAAGCATGTGGGGCTGGTTCCCTCGGGAAGCGGCAAGCAAAGCCAGATGGCGAGCGCAGGCCGCAGGTGCTCGTCGGCCAGGAGGTGGTCCCGCCGCGTCGGGGGCAGGAGGAAACTGCCCGCGCCTTTGCCGCCCGCGGGGCGGAGGGTGGCGGCCTGGCGCGCGGGCAGGGAGATTAGCAGACGAGCGCGCCGCTGCTCCTGCGCGGGATGAGCCAAGCGCTTCTGCGCCTTCTCCAGGCGCCCCGCTGCGGCGCAGACCCAGCTAGTAGCGCTCGCGCCAGCCAGCCTCCCCGCCTGCTCGACCGCCACCCATGGCTCTACCTCGTCCTCCTCCTCGTCCTCCTCCTCCTCCTCCTTCTCCTCCTCCTCCTGCTCCTCCTCCTCCTCCTCTTCCTCCTCCTCTTCCTCTTCTTCCTCGTCCTCGTCCTCTTCCTCCTCCTCCTCCTCCTCCTCCTCCCCTCCTTTCCTTCATGTCCTACTTTCCTCCTTGTCATCCTTTTCCTCCTCCGCCTCCTCCTCCTCCTCCTCTCCTCCGCCTCCTCCCCCCTCCCCCTTCCCACCCCCCTCCTCCCCTCTTCTTCCACCCCTCTTCTTCCTCCCTCCTCCTCCTCCTCCTCTCCTCCTCCTCCTCCTCCTCCTCCTCCTCCTCTTCCTCCTGCTCCTCCTTTTCCTCCTTTTCCTGTTTTCCCTCTTTTTACTCCTCCTCCTTCTTGTCCTTTTCCTCATTTTCCTCCTGTTCCTCCTTTTCCGCCTTCTCCTCCTCCTCCTCCTCCGCCTACTCCTCCTCGTCCTCCTCTTCCTTCCTCCTCCTCCTCCTCCTCCTCTCCTCCTCCTCTTCCTCCTCCTCCTTCCACCCCTCCCCCCTCCCCCTCCACCTCCTCCCCTCCCTTTCCTCCTCTGCCTCTTCCTCCTCCGCCTCCTCCTCCTCCTCCTCTTCCTCTTCCCCGTTCTCTTCCTCCCTCCTCCTCCTCCTCCTCCTCCTCCGCCCTCCTCCTCCGCCCATTCCTCCTCCGCTTCCTCGTGTTCCTCCTGCTCCTCCTCCTCCTCCTCCTCCTCCTCCTCGTCCTCCTCCTCCTCCTCCTCCTCCTGCTGCTGCTGCTGCTGCTGCTGTTGCGGTTTCTGCTTCTGCTGCTGCTGCTGCTGCTGCTGCTGCTGCTGCTGCTCCTCATCCTCCTCCTCCCGGAGCCATGTTTGGTTCAATATGCTTTGTTCCACCAGGGAACACGTGGATACCGCCAGCCCGCGGCAGGAAAGGCTGTTCAGCTTGGTAACTTTTGCATGTATCCCACCTTTCGTGTTCGCGCCATGGCTTGACGCAGCAAGGCTCCATGGCGCGATGGCAGCGGGGGACGCGGCGGCGGCAAGAAGCAGGCTGCAGATCGTTCCAACGAGGGGTACGACGTTTGCTCTGAATGCCAGCACTGGGAGTTCAAGTCCTACGGCAACTAGTGTTGCTCGAAGTGCGGTGGGCAATGCCCCTCAACAGCAAGGAAGACCCCGCGCTGCCCAACAAGAAGATGCAGCTGATCCTCAGGTGCCCTCGGCCGCTGCATGTTTGCTGCACGACCTGATCTGCAAGCTGTGCTGAGAGGTATGGTTCCAAAGCATGCTCCTGAGGAAGAAAACTGGACACAGGCCCAGTAAGCTGATGCTGCTCGGCATGAACACGCTCGTCTCACCAGGGACAGCGAAAACTGTGACAAGGCGGTGCGCCTGTCGTCTCAAGAAGAGCATCATCGTTCGAAGAAAGTTCAGAAGCTGCAGAAGGCCCTTCGCAAAGTTCGTGCCAACCGTCGGCAAACTGAACAACTCTGTCCCGCTTTGGTAAGCGGCACCCACCGCAAGGCCTTCGCAATCTGGAGGGGGAGAGATCTGCCCTGGGCTGCGTTCTGGCCAACAATCTTTAATGAATCCAGCCTTGCCGACGAGGAACCCCCCCGAAGGCCCAAAGAGGGTCAAGAACACGCACTGTCTAACCGAAATTCAAACCCCTGGGGATAATAAGGTTCGGGGTTGGGGGGATAATAGGCGATTTTCCCAGCGGAAGATGATGGTGATGATGATAACGATGATGATCCTGGGCGCTCACGTAACTAGATCTTCGCACCAAAACTGTCCTTGGTGTCATCGAGCCTCGCGCTTCAAAGTGGCCTGCGCAGGAGAGGTCCTTGGCGCTCCTGGCCCAGAAACCTCTCTTGACGTTCGTGACTCGGGAAAGCGGAGATGGTGAGAATCCCATAGCCCTGCCACACGCTCGTGACTTGCGAACGCTGAAATGGCGAGACCTCCATTGCCATGCTCTGCGCTTTTGGTGATGTTGCTAATCAATATCACAAGATAGCAATTTCGATTCGCAACTTCCCCCCGCGATAATCAAGTTCGGCCTCGCCGCCCCTCTCCACAATCAAATCTGTCTGACCCGGGGATAATAACCACTAAGGGGTTAAGGGGGGGGGCGGGTCTACTTTATAATCCGGGGTTAAGGGTTATATTCAGTGAGCCTTCCCACACCTCTCGAAATTTCCCTCAAGGAACCGGCTCCTGGAGGCTGGGAAGCGGCTGGGAAGCGGCTGGGCATCGGCTGCGGACTTTGCTGGAGCCTTATCCCCAGGCACCCAGCGGTGTTATTCATTGCGCGGCCCCGAGCGTGCCCTGTTCTTCCGTTCCTGATGGCCCCCACACCCGATAGCGGCGGGCTGCGAAGCCGAAACTCGAGGATGAACTCCGGGATTGAAAACACCGTGTCGTCGGCGATCTTTGGGCCGGGCGGCTTGGCCGCCCCCGTTCGATGGCAACTCATGGGAGCCTCCCGTACCATCTTGTCGGCTCCTGCGAATCGACGCTAGATCGTCGCTGAATCGACGCTATATCGACGCAATCCGACGCTACATCGGCGCCATCTCATCGCCCCCAATACGCTTATCGATGCTGATCGACGGAATCAAGAGGGTATACCAGGCTCCCACGACTTGCTTTAAGTCGTCGGGCGTGTCCTCCTACAGGCGGATTTTGGACGAAAAATAACAAATACTCGAAACGTGCTCAAACATAGCCAAAGATAGTCAAGTCCCCAGACGATTTCTACTTCGGAATATTCCTCGCGGGAGCGGCCAAAGAGAGGGGTGTCCAAGAGAGGGGGTGCAAATCATGACTGGCGGCATGTGCGCGGCCCAGCGGGGGGGCCAGGGACGCACTGAAATCTGGGGACATATCATGGCCCCCGCCATGACACCCACCCACCCCTGGTCATCACCCCACTCTTCTAAAGGGGCCCCGGGACACACAAACAAATACACACACAAATAAAAGGATTCCCCATCTTCTCCCATACTCTCTGGGCTTTTGTCCTCCCCCCCACTCCCCATATTCTCCCAATAGTTTCCTGGGAATCGACGACGACTTGTGCCTGTGTATTTTTGTCCCCTCCTGATCTTCCGCCGCCCCCGATCCTCCCGTGGAGGCACGCTTGCCGAGCTCCCGGGCCGGGCCTAAAACAGGGCTAGGATCGGGATAAATCGCTCCAGAGCGTTCTGGAGCGCTCCCAGAGCGTTCCGGAGCGCTCTGGAGCGGCCGCGGCGCCCAATACGTCCTCCAAACCCGCCGATTCTCAGAGACTTCGAGTTATCCCGATCCGATTTTGTCCCGATCTTCGCGTCGTTTGACTATGGGGGCTCTCTCAGGCTATCTTGGCGTCCTCTTGGGCTGTCTTGGGCCGTCTTGGGGCCCTCTTGGGCAGACCTGGGGCCTCCTCGGGCGCTCTTGGGAGCCCCTTGGTGCCTCTTGCCTCGAGGAGCTCTCTTGTCCTCCTCCTCCTCCTCCTCCTCCTCCTCCTCCTCCTCCTCCTCCTCCCCGTCCTCCTCCTCCTCCTCCTCCTCCTGATCCTCCTCCTCCTCTTCGCGTCGTTTGAGAGCTCCCGGGCCGGGCCTGCGGCGCGTGGCTCCGCGGCGAGGGCGGGCGCGGCGAGTGCGGCCGCGCGGCGCCGCCGCGGCGCCCGGGCCGGCGCGGCCGCCCGCGCCCGCGGCGGCTGCCGCGCGCCTGCCCGGCCCCGCCGCGGCGGCGGCGTCGGGCGCGTGGCGCCCGCTGCCCCGCCGCGGGGCCTCCTGAGTCATAGGGGGCCTCATCGCGGAGACTGCGCGCCCCCCCCCAGCAGAGAGGAGGACGAGGACAAGGACGAGGACGAGGAGGAGGAGGAGGAGGAGGAGGAAGAGGAAGAGGAGGAGGAAGAGGAAGAGGGGGAAAACAAACCTACCTCGCTTTTGACCACCCTCGCTTCCAGGAGATCCCAGACGATGCCAAACTACGGCCTGTACCGGTCGGGCCGCTCGACGAGGAGGCGCGCGGT